GCGCCCGCGGGCACGGGCGCGCCCGCGGCCGGCGGCGACGGGGGCGGCGGGAAGGGCGCGGTGCTGCTGTGCGTGATGGGCGGCAAGCTGTCGGAGGGCATCAACTTTGCGGACGGGCTGGGCAGGTGGGCGCGAGACCTGGGTCAAAGGCCAGCCTGGGCTGGAGGCTGCCTCGCAGCCTCGGGGTGACTTCAACCCAAAGCCCTGGCCGTGTCGCCGCCTGTTATATGAGGTTCCATGGTGAGGAGCAGCGTGGCCGCAGGCGCGACGCTCCATCGAACACCTTTCGGGCAACCCGTCATCACATGACCTGTCGGCCCTTGCGCCACTCCGCACCCGCCCCGCCAGGTGCGTCGTGGTGCTGGGCATGCCCTACCCCAACCCGTCAGACCCGGAGCTTCAGGAGCGAATGCGCTACCTCGATGCAACAGCAGCCGCCCCCACGGCTGCTGCGGCGCCTGGCGGCCAGACGCCTCAGGGATCCAGCTCGCAGGCGCAGCCGCAGGGGGGCCAACGCACGGTCCAGGAAATCAAACACCAGGAGGGACGGCAGCAGCAGGGGCAGCAGCAGCACGGGCAGCAGCAGCAGCAGCAGCAGGGGCAGCAGCAGGGCCTGACGGGGGCGCAGTACTACGAGGACCTCTGCTTCAAGGCCGTCAACCAGGCCGTGGGCCGCGTCATCCGCCACCGCGGGGACTACGCCGCCATCCTGCTGGCGGACCAGCGATGGGTGGCGCCACCAGGCTGGGCGCCGGCCGAGCCGGGCGCGGGCGGCCCCCAGCAGCAGCAGCAGCAGCAGCAGCAGGAGCAGCAGCAGCAGCAGCAGCAGCAGCAGGAGCAGCAGGGTCGCGCCGGCCGGCCGCATCCCGTGTCAAAGCTGCCGGGCTGGATCCAGCAGTCATTTGTCCAGACAGGCGGCGACTTTGGGGTGGCGTATCGCCAGCTGGCCGGCTTCTACAGGGCGCGCAGGGCGGCCGAGCAGGCGGCCAACGCAGTCACCGCTGAAGCAGCCGCGCCTGCTGCAGTCGTGTGAGAGAGGCGGTCGGAGTGGCGGTCCAAGTGGCGCGTGCCCGCTTGCTTCAAAGCTGTTTGTCGCTGTGCAGGAGAGAATGCGTGTTCCATGCAGGAGTGGTTGTTTTTGCGTGCATTTTGCAGTCTATGGGTCAACAGGCTTTTGAAAGGCAATTTGCTGCCAAGCCTTAGCACACTGGAGCTCCGTGGGGCACAGCCACGTGCCTGTTATGTAACAATACTGCTGACTCCAGGTCCAAATGTGGTTCGCCCAGCTGCCAGCCCTGCATCAGAGGCCACTGCTGTGCATTTTGATCTATGGCTGTCGAAAAGTGCAGCCCTAAGCAGCACGCCGCGCGAAGCTGCCACCCGTCACAGCAGAGCAGATCAGAGCAGAGTCAGTTACAGCACCCGGAAGGGGCGCGTGACAAGAGACGTGCAATGTGTTGAACGAAGATGCGGCATCTGCATGAGATTTGCACACCCACAGCAGGAGCGGATGACAGGAGGGCGGCAGGTCAAAAAGTCAAAGCGACACACCATCCCGGCACCTGCCCACCTCCGCTCCCGTGGTCGCACGCACTGGCAAGCATCGCAGGCCCCGAGGGCCGCGGGACGCAAGGGGCCACCACAGTTGGCAGCGGCTCGTAAGAGGGCCGCCGCTCCTGCTGTGGTACATGCCCGTGCAGCCCGCAGCACCGCGAGCTGCAACGCGCTCTTGGCGCGCCCCCCACTCCTCCCCGCTATCCAAAGCTGACCAGAGGCAAACATGATCGACGCCCGCAATCAGAGGCCCAGGCGATTGCGCCGGGCCGTGCCGCGCCGCGACAAGCGGCAGCGGCCCTCGCGCGGCGCGGCGCGGCACGTGCGTACCCCTCGCGGACGGCCGCGAGAGAGGCCGCCTCGAGGCCGCCTTGAGGCCACCTCCCAGCCACGGCTGCCTTTGCTTAGAACACGGAGCCGCCGCCCTGCGCGGCCACCTCCTTCTCGTAGGACTCGTAATACTGGTAGATGATGGTGACGGCCAGGAGGATGCCCGTGCCGCTGCCGATGGCGCCCATCAGGTCGGCCGCGATGGTGAGGGCGCCGATGCACATGCCGCCAAACTGAGGGGGGCAGGGGGGCGCGAGAGAAGGGTCGTGGGGAGGGGCCCAGAGAGGCGGCGCGGGCGCGAGCGCAGCAGCACTGCATAGACAGACAACGCCCGCAGCGACACACCATGCGTGCTGACAAAGAGGACAGCAGAGCTGTGCGCCTGCCATCAACTCCAGCCCCCGAGTGCAGTCATCCCTCTATGACACACAAACTCACAAACACAGCATTGTAACCAACGGAGCGCCGCAGCACCCACCGCGGCGGCGACGGGGATGTACCGGTTGAGCTCCTTCTTGAGGGACGACTGCGTGTCCCTGTGCCCCTGGATGAACATCTGCTGCTCCTTGAGCTGCTTTGCCACGTCCGACGCGCTGCTGCCGGACACCTCGATCCAGGTCTTGGAGAACAGCGCGCACGCCGTCAGCATGAACGCCGTGTACACCACCGCGTGCAGCGGGTTGGCAGCGACGTCGGCGAGGCTGGTCGGGGGCGTGATGTAGTAGGCCAGCCCGCCGACGGGCGCCATCTGGCCGTTCCACTCGTTCTCCTGCCACTGGCCGAGCAGGCGGACGAGGAAGTTGCCGCCGTAGCGCTTGTACAGCAGCTGGGAGATGAAGTACATGTTGGAG